ATTTTAAGTTTATTTATATGTTTATATAATTAATAATTATAGATATACATAAAACAAATAAATATTTAATTTATAAACGTAAAAATATATTATTGATAAATAATATGCATTTGATAAACAATATGCATTTGATAAGTCTTTATACATATGATAGATAAATTTAAGATGATCATTACTAAAAATTTAAAAATTATATGATGATAAACAATACGTGTTTGATAAACTTTATTACAAATTGATTATATATACAGATAAGACTATAATATAAATATAAGTAATTAATAATTAAAAAAAAATTAAAATTCCCAATAATCCCAATATCCTTCTTTATCCACTACTCGACTATTGCGAGCATATGGAGTAACTGCAACATTTTTAAAATTATTATTTCTAACAATTTTATAAGAACCTTTTAATTTCCAATTAATATTTGAATTACATACTCTTCTAAGTTCAACAGGTATCTTTTTGATATTTAATCCTCTGCGTATTGCTTCTTGAAATACGTAGAGTCTTCTGTTATCACAAGAATAAAATATATCATCTATGATACAAACATGTATCATAGGAAAATCTTTTATTTTAATTTTATTATTAACAAGGTTGTTAATAGTATTTTCAATATCATCACCCGTTTGAAATGTGTTATTGATAGTTGCTTGGCTAAACATAATTTCAAATGGATTTATATTTTTTACAAAATCTTTTTCTGCGAGTTGTAATTTTATTAATATAAATTTTATTCTATACAATAGAGCAATTCCAAATAACCAGACTAAAATTACAGAAAAAGGTGAGATAATAAGAATTAGAATCAATAAAATTAATTCTAATAAATAATTAATTGAATCTTTTTTTTCAATTAATATAGAGTTAGAAGAATTTAAAAGTTCTTCTTGTTCGATGTTCGTTTGAGAGATATTAATTTCTTGATCGGAGGTCGACCAAGTAGGATTTTCATTTAAATCCCAAAAAACCGAATTTTCTTCAATTTCATCCCAAGAATTTTCATCATTTTTTTCTTCAATATTCCAAGGAGTATCATTTTGTTGGTAATTATTCCAGTTATTTTCTTCAATAAATTTTTGATTTTTTTTGTTAAATTTAGAAGTAAATTTTTTAATAAAAGACATTTTAAAATTGATTTTTTTTTAATTTTTATCAAATGAAATAATTGATGATTTTAAATTTTTGTTAGGATAGCAATTTATCATTTCATATTTTTTTTTTTGTATTTATACAATGTTTTAAATTATTAAAAATGGTTTTTGAAATTTTGTATTTAAAAAGTTTTTGCGTAAAATTTTAAAGATATGACTTTGTTTATTTTATTTGTAAATGGGTCATGAGGTATAAAACAAGATATTTCCTTTTTCATCAATGATAAGAAAGATAAGCATTTATTGGTAAATAGAAGTTTCGAATTTGAAATTTTATTTGTTTATATTATTAATTTTTACATTACAAAAAATTAAAGAATTTCTATTTGAAAAGAATTTATCTATTTTGTTTTGTATTACATATTTAAAGAATTAATTATTAATATGTTCTTTATAAAAAGACTTTGTTTCAGTTTATCCAGAATACAAAAATGTGTACGCAGTCGGAATTTCTGTATATGAAATCATTGATGAATGAGATACACAAAAGTCTAGATGCTGCTTATCACGAAACTCCGAAATTTATTTCCTTTTTAATCAAGGATCAAAGATATTTATCAATTATTGATGAGATAGAATATTCTATTCGGAAATTCTTGATTGAAAATACATTCTTTTTGATGAATGATGAGATTATCCGGATTTATAAGATGATTATCAATCTTAAGCGTTCCAGATTAAGATTGCGTAATAAGATTAAAAATGTTTTAGACAAAGTAAAAAAGTTTTTGTCACAGGTTGATAAGGTTTTTGTGGTAGTCAGATGCTGCGAGGACAAATATTTTATAGAGAATTCCTCTTAAAGAAATATTCTTATTTGGAAATTACTTATTAAGGTTTTTCCGTATATATCCAGATTAAATATTTTTTGTATTTATCCATATAATGTTCAAAAGATTTAAAAAGGTGGTGAATTTATCATCGTTGAAAAAAAAAATCAAATTATCAAATTGCAAATCAACAAAAATATCATTTTATCGAAATATCATTTATCAAATTATCAAAATGAATTCACAACAAGTAGACGCAAAATTACATAAAGTTCAAGAGTCTGGCATCAAGAAAAAGGCTGGTCGACCAAAACTCAACAAAGATTCGAACGAAAACCCAGAATACAAAATTAAAAATAAAGTTGGTCGAAAACCCGGACCAAAACCAACGATCGAAATTATCGAACAAAGAAAATTGAGAGGTAAAGAATCTCAAAGAAGATATCAAATGAAAAAGAAACAAGAATTAGAAAGATTGAGAAATTTGGAACAAGAATTAAAGATAATGAAAAGATACAATTCGACAGAATATATTAAAGGATTAAAAAGATATATTAAAGAATTAAAAGACGAAAGACTCACTTTTAAAAAAGAAAGTGAAGAGATGAAAAAGGAAAATGAAATTCTAAAAATGGAAATTGATGAATTTAAAGTCGAAAAAAAGAAATTAGATAAAGAGAAAAACGAATTTGAAGAAATGATAAAAGATCTCGAAACAAAATTCTCGAATAATAAAGATATAAAAGAAATAGAGATAATTGAAGAAAAAGAAATAATCAAAGAAAGTGAAGAAATGGATTACAACGAAGAAAAAAATGATAATGATAATATTCAAAATGAACAGGTATATATAGGAGAATTTAATATTAATCAATACAATGATTATATTCAATATTTAAATACAGATGTTTTGTTAGATGAAAATAGTCTAGTTGATTTTGATGATAATCTATTATCAGAATATATAGATGAAAATAGTATACAGGATTCATTATCGTATTTTCAAACTTCTTTTATATAATTTTTATTCATATTCATATTTATATAATTCATGTATCATATAATTCATATTCATATTTCATATTTTATTTATAAATAAAAGAAAATAATAGTATTGTCAATAATAAATGAAATCTCTTAAATTCAATATAATTGAATGATCACAAATATTTGATTCGATATTAACTTTTTTAATAGTTTTGTTATCTTTATAAATATGGTTTAAAAGAATTAAATCATCGTTATTTAAAAAATTGTTTAATATTTCCAAATATTCCAAATGAATATTATTCGAGAGATATTTTTCTAATATTAACAAATGTTCATTTTTGAATAAACATTCATCAAACATGCAATTCTTGAAAAATAGGATATTTAATTTTGTCTTTATTCTGATTAAAAAATTAACGAAAAGTGGAAAATCTTCGATAAAGATATTATAAAAAAAAATTTTCGTCAAAGAACAAAATCCTTTTTCGAATATAAAACTATTCATTTTAGATGTTTCACTATATAGATTAGATATGAAAAATAAATGTTCTATATTTAAAGTATAGAGAAAAGGTACCAAATCACTTATGAGGATGGTATTATTTCTGAATATATCATGATTTACTAATCTTTGATAGATAGATATTATATTATGTGTATTCAAGGTTTTTATAAAAGAAAAGTAATTCCTTAAAGGGGTTTTGTATGTTAATCTCTTAAAGATTATTTTTTTATCATCATACGTTAAATTCATTTCGGGAAAGTTATACATAAGCATCAAAAAGAAATATTCAACACCGAATACAGTATATTTTCTCTGAATGAAATAAAAAGGATCTTGCCAAAGTATTGGAATCGAGATTTTAAAGAAAAGTCTACATGTTAAAGATATTTTAAAAAGATTCAGTTCTTTTGTTATATATTTGACGATTTTTTCATATATTTCATTAGGTAGTTTATACATTTTGAACGATATTTTACTTGAGTAAAATTCATCTTTATTTATAATATTCAAAGTAATTAATATTATATCATAAATATTTAATTTAATTGATTTTGTAATTATTTGATTTTATAATAATTTAAGGAATTATTAATTAAATAAATATATAAATAAGACATGATATTTCAAATAAAAAAATTATAAGATGGCAGAGTTAAATAACAAAGATAAAGTGAGTATTGATTCATTAAGTATTTTATGTTTGATATATAAATTTCTTGTTTACGCTGAAAGAAATGAGGCTTTGTGGCTGGCATCGGCAAAGCAATCGTCTTTTGAAAAGAAATTTATTAGATGAGATGATTTTAAAAGTTTTAATAGCCTGCATTAAGTTGGCTCCTATTAAGATTATTTAAAATTGTTAAATCTTAAGTATGGTAATATAATATACTTACTATTTTTTTATCTAGATTCTTGATTATAAAGATAACATTATTCAATCTTTGGAATTAAATGAATATGAAATTAATGAAAATTTTATTAAAGATTACATTCGTGATGATAGAGATAAAGATCTTTTAGTTTATAAATATGATTTTGATTTTCTTGTATGTTGTAAATTTAGACCAAAAGCAAAAGTTGGTTTTAATGATGTTGAAAGAATTTTTAATGCAGCTAGTTTTTACAATTCTCAAGGTGTGATTATAACAAATACTGATTATTCACCTAAAGCGCAATTTATTGCTAAGAAATCTAATATTATTTTATCTTATTCAAATAATATCGTTAAAGATTTAAATTTGTTTATAGAAAAAAGATTAGATAAAGATGAATTAGATATTCTTTATAATATTCTTTATGAATAATTTTTATTTAAATAAAATATTATATTTATTTATATTATTTGAAATTATAAATTTATTTATCATATCATAATTATTTTTTGTTTATCTTATATTAATAATGAAAATATATAAAAATACTATTTTATCATAGTTTTGCATAAGTTGAAATGTGTCTGTATTTTGAATTTATGAATATGAAAATATTGATGAATACAATATGTTATGATCTCATTTGTATTTATCAAGAATGTCCTAAATTTCCTTTTCTATTTATCGGATGTTGCGTAAATAAATATGCATGGATATTTAAGAAATTGGAAAATATATGTGGCAGAATTCAATGGTTTTTGCTTTTTAATCCATCTTTTGTGAGAAATAATGATATTATCCAGATTTATAACATGATCGATATTTTGAGAAATACCAAATTGGGTTTGCGCATCAAGATTCAAAGGATTTGTGAAAAGATAGAAATTTTTCTGTTGAAGGCTGATGAATTTA